GGCTAATTCTATGCCATTAAAAAACTCCTACCTTCCAAACAGGATGCCCACTTGTAAACTGATTTTTTGAGAGTGGTCCCTGGCCCATACTAACTCCCAGCACATGCATGTGAATTGTCTGCAAAACCACAAGTTGCCCCAGGCCAAAACTGTGCCAAAGGCTGCCATAAGAATGGTATAAAAAAATCACAGCCCAGTGCTCAAAAAGTTCCCCAGTGTGCTGCTTAATTATTTAGTATGGAAATGTTTTTTTGCATTTTACAGAAGACTAAATAGATAAGATGCATAAAATGTTATTTCTGCTTTCCTGTCCTTAAGGCACTTATTAAGGTTGAAAATATAAAGTAACCATAATCCTTCCTGTCCAAACCATCTTTCCAACTCCTCTAAGTCTAGGCCCAAATTTTGTGAATTCTACAGAAACCTCAGTTTAAATCTCAAAATGGACTTTATCTTCTCCTGAATACCATAATTGGGATTAAGGAATCACCAGTTCTCCTCAATGCTCAGTATCTATTTTCTCAGATAATCTATTTTCTCAGATATCTTTGATTTTCATAAATTCATTAGTCAAAATATTTTACGTATTTTCTACTACTGTAATATCCTTGAACCATAAAGATATTAACAGATTATGGTACTTGAGCAGATAGGACAACTGAGGAAGGAAGAACCCAGTTAATTTGCCTGTATCTTACAGGCAGAATTGAAAACTGAAATAGGTTTCTTAATTCCTAGGCTAATGATTTAACCAACTTCTTTTCATTCCCTAACTATATTTCACTGTATTTTTTTTCTTTTTAGAGTAATTCAACACCATAATAGTGTCTGTGGTTGCTGTTCCTAAACGTTTTTGATCCCACAGACTCTGCCCAAACTAATAAATTGAACACACCTTAACCTTCATTTCAAGCACAAAGGCCATCTGGCACTGAGCAGGCTAATTCTATGCCATTAAAAAACTCCTACCTTCCAAACAGGATGCCCACTTGTAAACTGATTTTTTGAGAGTGGTCCCTGGCCCATACTAACTCCCAGCACATGCATGTGAATTGTCTGCAAAACCACAAGTTGCCCCAGGCCAAAACTGTGCCAAAGGCTGCCATAAGAATGGTATAAAAAAATCACAGCCCAGTGCTCAAAAAGTTCCCCAGTGTGCTGCTTAATTATTTAGTATGGAAATGTTTTTTTGCATTTTACAGAAGACTAAATAGATAAGATGCATAAAATGTTATTTCTGCTTTCCTGTCCTTAAGGCACTTATTAAGGTTGAAAATATAAAGTAACCATAATCCTTCCTGTCCAAACCATCTTTCCAACTCCTCTAAGTCTAGGCCCAAATTTTGTGAATTCTACAGAAACCTCAGTTTAAATCTCAAAATGGACTTTATCTTCTCCTGAATACCATAATTGGGATTAAGGAATCACCAGTTCTCCTCAATGCTCAGTATCTATTTTCTCAGATAATCTATTTTCTCAGATATCTTGGATTTTCATAAATTCATTAGTCAAAATATTTTACGTATTTTCTACTACTGTAATATCCTTGAACCATAAAGATATTAACAGATTATGGTACTTGAGCAGATAGGACAACTGAGGAAGGAAGAACCCAGTTAATTTGCCTGTATCTTACAGGCAGAATTGAAAACTGAAATAGGTTTCTTAATTCCTAGGCTAATGATTTAACCAACTTCTTTTCTTATCTATGTAATCTGGGTTTAAAAAGTGTGAGCAGATGTTTTCAGTGACTCACTCACTGATACAAGCATGCATGTCACTACTATGCTCACAGAGCTCCAAAAGATTTCATTTTGAGTCAAACAGAAAACAAAATAAAAATGGAGAAAATGGAGGTCAAGTCTGCCAAGTGGTATTTGAAATGCAATTCATCATCTGCGTTTGCATCAAGTATTACAGGTCTTTGTAATTATATATGAATTCAAAGCTTTACACAATGTACTTGCAGTCTTCCTTTATATACACGAGTAGTTAAAACTGATATCAGCACAAACCAGAAGGAAAATTAATCACATAAATAAAGTGAAATCCAGAAGTAGGTCCATTTTATCCTGTAGTAATTCTGTTTACTTTAATATTTAATTTTGGTGACCATTTATGCAAGGTAAAATTCTACCTTGCTAAAATATTTAGGGAGAAAATATCCTTGCCTCTAATATGTCTTCCAAAGAATCATAGAAAACAAATCACAGACCATCAGTGAGAAAGAACTGTAAAAAGTATACTCATATTCACATATATTTCCGAAGCATGCTACTGTGATTTTGAGGGAAGGCAAAATGTCAAATTCCTTTGTTCATTTTAAAAACACACACTCCCATAATATGTACACTGTTCCAAAAAGCTGAAAAAATAACTAAGATACTTTAAAAAAAATATAGCCTAAAAAGTCTTCTTATAGGAACTGTTTACCTTTAATAGAAATTAATCTAAATCAGCTCATACCTCCCATGTACATGATGCATAAATTTTGCATACATTCATTCTTTTATTGGAAAGGCATTGTTAATATATTTCTAAAAGGAAACGGACTGACATCTATGACTGTACTTTCATGCAATGCATGAATGTGTTTGAAGAATGTATCCTGAACTCCTGTTGTTCGGTGTTGTGCCTTAAACACACAAAGACTAAAGAAAAAACTGAGTTGCTCCATGTGAATTGCTGTGCTTTTTGCAATGAACTGCTAGGAGGGAAGTTTTACGTCTGTCAGTAACTGCGTGAACTTGACCTGCTCAGGGCTTTTTTGATCTCTGTGTATATTCAGAGTCAGGGTCTTGCCCTCTACTGACTAAAATAACTTCTTAGTACGTTTTTGCTTCCTGTTATACAAAGGAACCAATTAAACAGTGAGCAAATAGTCTAGATTTCTTCTGGCTCTCTCTGCATCTAAAGAATCACTGCCTAATTCCCAGCTGCTAGACCAAACTGTCTTCATGCATGCTGCACAATGCTTTTCTCCACAGAGACATGCTGCAAGTAGGGATGATGCTCAATCGGAAATGAATGAGGAGTCAAAGAGACATTATTAGATATGTTCACTATTAATTAGATATGTTCATAGGAAGGAACTACAAATATTTCGTGATTAGGGTAGTAGTTTTTTGTGGGGTTTTTGTTGGTTTTTTTTTTTAGATTCCAAGATGAGTTTGTAGGATGGTCACTTTATCCCCTACTTGTAAACAGGTAAATCACACTTCTACTTGCTGCTGTTACTAATTAAGTAGGAAATCGTTAAGGAATACCTTTTGGCTTTGACAGAGGCCTCTTGAAAACACTGCATTTAGGAGTTCCTAAGAACAAGAAGGTAATCATGTAAAATATCTACAGTGCTACCATGAAGAGAGTTTATCCCTTGCTGTGTTAGTTATAAACAGAAATGCAAAGGTTTATATAAGAGATGAAGTAAGCAGCTATTGCAAATAATTTAAAGGGTCCATGTGTGTCTGAAGATTCAAGAAAGCTGTTCTTGTCCATGTACCATGACCTCATGCTGTTACTCCTACACCACACATTCATAGCATAGATTTCTTGAATAGATAGATACCTGTGTCTATATAGTAGCCACCACTCTTACATACAAAAGGATAAAATAATTATCCTTTTCACTCACCAGCTAGACTGTTTTTTATATATCTGCTATCTTGCAAGAGGTCTCAGCATAAAGTAAGAGAGAATGTTGTCTGATTTGTATTGAATTTGTGTCTCCTTTCTGCCAGACATTGCATTTGCAGTTAAACATGTTTATAATGTGCATCTAGTGACTGATGAAGATTATCTGCATTGATAGAACAATGGAAAGGAGCATATTGTATACTGGGGTTTAGCATTTCTTTTGCACAAAAGTATATGCTGCTTGCAAGTACTTACGCAGTTAAAGCAATATCTGTTACAACATAGCCTAATGGTGTAACCACAACTTGAATTCTAGCTCTACATGTTCCACTGCTAAATTTACTGCTGACTCTGACTTTCAGCTAGATTTTTATTTATATCTTTCTCTCTTACTTTTCTCCATCTTCTAAATGGGTATGCTCCACTTACCTCTTTAATATCTTAAGGATGTAAACGGTGGCTAAATAATAAATACCGATTTTCTGCATTCCATTGTGGAAAACATTTCGGTTTTAATTATTGGAAGCATTTTCCACAGACTCCACGAAAAGTGATGTGAGAAAAGTTTATTTACAGGTACAACTTCAAATTCTTTAATTTGTGTTCTGAGAATCATGTTGATTGATTCCTACCCCATGAAGAGCAACGGATCAAAGTCTGGTACAAAGTGATAAGAGTTTTGCTTCTGATTTCTCCTTAGTACAAATCAGAAATAAATGGAAGTCAAGGGCTTTTAGAAGTCACAGTACTGGGATCAAAACAGTTTATGACAGCTCATGGACACTGATGATGACGAAAACAAACATAAATAGTATTCCTTAATTCTTTTCTCCTAAAAATCATTTATAGGTAACCCACTATTAACCAGCAAAGTCAACGTTATAATAAATGTCCTGGATGTCAACGAGTTTCCTCCTGAAATTTCAGTTCCATATGAGACATCTGTATGTGAAAATGCCAAGCCAGGACAGGTATTTCAAATTTGTAATGCTTGCTATTTTGCTCTTTTTCCTTAGTATTATTTATAGCAATAGAAATTTCTGGGTTTGAAAATGACATCACAATAGAATTCTTATACAAATTAAAAGTCTGTGTTGGAAATACCTTCTGGAAATCTGTTTCTTGACCTTTATGGTCTATTTTTTTATTATCCCCGATTATATTGGCTTGAGCAACCCTTTAGTGTGCATTTAATAGCTATGACAGGAGAAAGATTCCCTTCCTTAAAGATGCTTAATTATAAAGGTAAAAGTGCAGTAAGTAAATGGAGTAGGATGCATTGAAAACATTTCTGTGTCGTATTCTGAGAAAAAGAACTGACAACCCCAAAGACAATCTTCCTGAAAGCTTGCTTTTATAAACAGTTTCAAATATATGCATAGCATGCGAAATATCACCTTTTACTGTGATGCCAATATTAATAGAGCTGGCCCCAGAAGGTATTGGCCTGTGCTCCTCCTGCCATAAATTTGTGTAATTAAACACAGTGTTGTGAAGCACCAAGGCCAACCACCATACATATTAACAGCTAATGCTGTTTCCAAGACAAGACTTGTAACTTCAACTGTTCAACTTTGAGAGTGACTGCCAGCCATGGAAGGAACATATTCATCCTGCTACGTAATCAGTGACTTCTCTTTATATGTATGTAATATGTACTCAGTCCATGTGATTTTTATTGCCTTTATTACAGATTTGTCCATGACTTCATTTGATATTCTTTTTTTTGTTTTTTAATGTTTAAATAACTACCATACAACCTAATTTTAACTTATAGTTTATCAGATACCTCTAATTTCTTATTCAGGCACTAACAGTAGAAAGGAGAACCTTTTACAGAGAAGGCTGAGACAAGCACTGAGCTGTCAAAAATTAGAAATATATAGATCTTTGTTATATAAAAAAAAATGCCAATATATAAAAAAGTGGCAATCCTTCTATGAAAAAAATTTGACTGCACTGTGCTTACCTCAAAACTAATAGATAGCACTTGGACCCAAAAATTCATTCATGCCTAGATGGTGCAGACCTTTCAGCCCTCTACTTCATTTCAAACTGTAAAATTAGGGTGCAGCTTTTTGAAGTAGTACAACGTGTACTGGTTTTAACGGTGATAGTAGTAGCAGATAAAGTGAACTGTCCCTAAGTAATCACTCACCTGAAAACAGTCACTAGTATTTTGATACAAAGGACAAATATTAAATACTTCTACTATGAATATAGGGTAAATCTTTCTGATTTCCTTCAGATATGTCAAAGCGAGACCTGAGATATCACAAGTTTTCTGTAGGCTATAGTATTCAAACTTCTTGCCTCCACTGCCCAATATATTAGGGGAATGAGAGTAATCTGGCAGTATTTCACTTTCATTGTTTCATTTGATGTTCACTTTGCACTTCTACAAAACTGGTTCTTTTAAAGGAGTGAACCGACTTCAGAATTAATCTTAATCTGGTTTCAGGTGATACAGATTGTCACTGCAGCAGACAAAGATTTGTCACCAGCTGGGCAAAGGTTTTCCTTCAGACTGTCATCTGAGGCTTCCAGCAAACCAAATTTCACAGTCCATGACTACAGAAGTAAGTTGCTTATACATATCTCTCTTTCAGAGCAGCAGGCTGTGATTATAATGACAAATAAAATTATTTTATACTACGGTCATGTCTACAGACCAGCTTTCTTATTTGACATTTCTAATTGTGAAACTATCTAGGACATATATTAATATAAATTCAGGTCTTGCACCTTTTCTCATTTTTAGGGGACGGGAATTATCAGAACACAAAAGGCTGAGATTTCTCTACAAACCTGCAAAAACACTGCTACCAGTTTTATTTTCTTCTTTTTATAATTCAGTATCTCAGGAAAAAGTCATATGTCAATGCAGGTATACCTTTAAACAAGGCACTGTTGCTGCCTTCTTTAAATCCTATCACTTTGCTCACTGTTTTTGAAGTACCCAGCTACTGTGCTTTCTCAAGGATGCACAGTCCTGCAGAAGAATTAGTTCAAAATATGGACAGTGCTGATGCAGTAAAACATCCCACAACACTCTAAAGAATTTGTAGATTTATATAATTAACATCCCTGATTTTACCCCCAATTTTTACCATAACTTATAATCTTTTTTCTTTTTCATTTGAATGCTTTTGAAAATGGTAAAGAATAACCCAAGATGAAAAAATTGATCTTTTTGCTCTTATAAACATCTTCAAACATGTAGTGTGAATAGACACAGCTAAAACATCATAATAAACTGTAGTAAATTTTAACCACTAATTACTTTAATCAAATAAGAAAAAAAAAAACAACAATGATTTTATTAACTGTTAGGTGATCTTTAAAGAACTGTGTGATGTTAAATTTTTCATTAAAAAGGGTTTACATTACTCTGCAAAGAAAGAACACCCAAATCCATCCAATAAAGTTCAGTAACAATCTTTTCCTATTTAACTATGTAGGTTATAAGTATTACTTTTAACAAAAAGTATGTAATTCTTAATTTTTAAAAAAAAAAAAAAAAAAAGCAAGCCAAGTCCTAAAAAGGGCTAGAAATGGAAAATATGATATTTCATAAGAATGAAATATTTCATAAGAATGAAAAAAATTGCAGAGACCACTTATTTAGCTTTTTTCAAAACCATTTAAGTATATGACCCACATTATTTTTGAGGTCATGAACTTTTGTTAATATTAGGTAATTCAAAATGATAGACAACAACATAAGCACAACTATTAATCAGGAAGATGTTTATCATTAAGAAAGTTCAGGAAGACATAAATCTGAAACAACAGAAAAATAAACTATGCTTATTTTATCTTTTTTCTATAGCTCCTCTGTGAAGATGACAAGACAAAAATGGTTTATTCCCAAACTTATTAATGACTTTTATTTTAGTATGCCACAGATAGCTAAAAACATACAGATGAGCAAATTATTTCACTTAATGATTTGTAAATACAATATAAAATGAAACCATAAAAATTCATAATATTGCAGATATGAGTAATAGTATCTTATGAAACCCAAAATACACTGGTCAACATTTTATCAAATAATTTTCTTGAGACAGACAGCTCAATGAATATGAAGGACAACCTTACAATGGATTCAAGTTTCCATCTATTCTTGGACAGTTAGGTCATTACTCTTCTCCAGAAGTGCTTAGTCTAAACAGTATGGTTTTAACAGATACTAGTATTTAAAAATGTTGTGGCATTTCACTATCTAACTATATAATTCTGCCAAGCAAGATTTAAATGCTTTATATCTGTGTTCCACTGGATGTAAAATTTATTTGCTTCCCCTCAATGCTGCACTGTAGTTTCTGTTATGTCCCGTTTCCTGCTTAGCTGTTGGTATTATCTTGGAAAATTCAGCATGGGGAACTTTGCTGATGATTATAATTAAGAAGAAAAAAAAAATTTCTCTATATCTTAATAGAAAAAAGAAAATATACTTCTTTAGATATTCCTCATATGTTACATTAATTACTTTCATCCTTTCACTTTTCAACACATTTGAAGGCCCAGATGGGTAGTATCATCACAATTTTGTAGCCTTATAGCATCTAAATACCTTTGCTCTTTTGTTCAAGATTTCTTTAAGAGCTTTAATTTATTTCTTTTTGTCTATTTCCTAAAATATCCTTTAATTTCATCAAGATTTAATTTTTTTCAAATAATTACAAGCTATTGTTTTCTGCCAGTTCTTTTAGGGTCATTTTAATATCTTTAATTCCTAAAAATAATCTTTAAACTTCAAATGTCTCTACAGTAATTAAACTCAGTGACCTTTCTCATTTACAGCTTTTGTAAAGTGGGCTTAGCATATGAGTTTGGTGAGGAAATTGCTCAAATATTATTAGATAATTAAATTTCTCCTTTTAAACCAGTAATGTTGACACCGAGATGACTTTGGATCTCAGTAGTCTGTTAACAAACTTTCTCTACTTTATAAAAACAAATGCAGTATTCTGATAAAAAAAAATAATTAGAAACCACCAAGACACAATTTTTCATACATGTATGTTTGTGTGTGTATATACACTCTCTTAAAAGCATTTCTTACTAAAAAATAAGAAAGAAATACATTATTTGTTGAAACACAAGGAAGACAGAAAAAAAGCTTTTGTGAAATATTTTCCAACCATAAAAGACCTTTTAAGTTTAGATGATTAACAGAGCTATTGAAAAAAATGTACCATATTTTCAATGTCTTCTGCCTTTTGATGGCAAAAAGGTGGAAGGTCTGCTCTGTACATAATACCGAGATAAAATAACGCACCCTTATTTTCCTTCCAGAAACTTTTAAAAAACATAAATACCATTATCTTTTGAGTTAGCAATTATGTCAATACCAAGCAGGTAATTTGTGAAAGGGATTTTGGTTTTTTTGAGGAAACAATCATCTTGTTCATCATGTTACAATTAATGCTTTTACAAGTAAAAGTGTTGTTTAACATTTTTAAACACATAAAGAAACCCAATAACCAGTGCTATTCTATACAGCTAAACATCATGGGTGTTGTGGTTTTACATCATGTGCAATATATGTGTGTAGTGTAGCCAAGAGAATAAACTTTTCCAGGTTCCATACTTCTTCAGAATATAACTTAATGAGAACAGAAGCAAAACAGTAGCTCAAGGCTGCCATTTGGAGTGTCTACAAATATAAACACAGGGAAATGCTATGTTTCTAGTCTGTGCCTTCTGCAGTGCTGAGACCAATCCACCAACTGTGAACAGAAGTGAGAGCCCCTGGAAGAGCTGGGGTGCTTCCAGCTGAACCGCTCACCTTCCTCTTTCCACATTGCTGGCTTCACCATTCTCCCTAGAGGACTGCTTCCCTGCTGAGCACATTCAGTTGCTCATGTAAGAGAGAGAATTTTCCTTCTCTCCAGACTGTCACACACATCCTGAAAATGAATTTATTGCCACCAGACTGAAGAACCAGAAGCTATGTCAGCTTCAGGCTGCAGCTCCAGGCTGCTCTGTGTAGAGTTCAGACACATGCCTGTGTCCATATTTTCAAAAGGCCTTTGAACAACTGGAAAGGGTCATAGAAGAGCAACAAAAATTGTTCAAAGCCGAAGACTTAAGAGCTCGATCTGTTTGATTCTTCTCAAAGGAGAATGGAAAGGCATTTTGTTGCACTGTAACATGTATTATAGTGATCTTCAACACTGCAATTAGAAGACAAGAGAAAAATAATATGAAAATCTATTAATGTAAATAGAAATAAGAGTAGAAATAAGATTATCACTTTAAATTAGATCTAAAACTCTTTGTACAGTGCAGATGATTAATCACAGAGAGAAAACGAGCTGAAGATGGAAGGTGGTTTGATTCAAACAATTTTGAGACATTTTTCTTTTTTAAAACTGAACTTGATGTGTCTATGTACCATGTGTGAGTTTGATGAAAAAGGGACTTCTGAAATAAGCGTTCTGTCAGTCAAGTTACTTTCTCAATGGTGTCTGATTATAACATGTCTGATTTTGGATATTTAGGGTTCCTTCTTATTGTCCTTAATCAGAACTGCACACAAGTATTTGAGTGTGGAATTCAGAGCCCTTAATCCTTCTACCTAGTGACAAAACCCCAAGAAAGAATAAAAGTCATAACATGGACAGCAAGTGACCTCTTCTAAAGAAAGCACATGGGTGAGATGGCAAATTAGTGACTGCTGCAGGCTACCTTCATTCAGATCTGTCAGCTTTCCCTGCTAATTTCATTTTGGTTTTGCTTTCAGTGTAATTCTTTTAACCTTCTCATCATTTCCTTGCTACTCTGATTCAAGAAAAGCAGTGAGAAATTAATTTCTACTGGGCAGAAATGACAAAACATATCTTCAAGGAGTTCTGAACCCATTCATGACTAACTGCTGGAAAATGTACTGATTATAAAGTACTCCATTTTTGTACTTATTTTTAATGGGGCAGGAAATCTGAAGGGGTTTTGCATTTTGGCCAGGCTATTACTTTCAGTTTTAAAGGGAATTTAATTAATTAATTAATACAGACATGATTCTAAATCCATGTTCAATCAAAGTCCTTTGGACCACAGGCTTGGAATATAAGGAGATAAGAGAAAAGAAAAACCGAAAAGCTTTCCTAATCTAATACCTGTAACGCTTTGTTTAATTATTATTTATGCTGTCTTTGAAATTCCAGCTGTCAAGCTAACGGGTTTACAAGAAATGGAATGTTATTTAATTCTCTGAAAAAAATTGCTGTACCAGTCAGAATACAATACCTTCTGTAGTGATGAAACAAGGCAATTGCATGAAGCATGTCAGTCACTGAGTTTCAAAAACAAAATAGCTTCCTATTACTAAAGGTGATACAAACTACAATGGTGAATTGAAGTACACAGTAAAAATCCTGTAATGACTGTCGTATGTTTTACAGACAACACAGCTGGGATTGAAACCAGGAGAAATGGTTACAGCAGAAGGCAACAAGAGCTGTACTTTCTTCCAGTAGTAATAGAAGACAGCAGTTACCCTGTCCAAAGCAGCACAAACACAATGACTATCCGTGTTTGCAGATGTGATTCTGACGGTACCATCCTGTCCTGCAACGTGGAAGCAATCTTCTTACCAGTAGGCCTCAGCACAGGAGCATTGATTGCAATCTTGTTGTGTATTGTTATACTTCTAGGTTAGTTCTCATGAAACGATGTGAAGTGCATTACTCCAATTATTCACCTGTGCATTGATTTGTGTTGCTATTAGCTTCCTCTGTTGTTTTACAAAAGCCACTGAAAATGCTTCTATGTTTCTAGAAAAACATCACAAAGCACTGACCATGACCTTGACTCTGCTAACACCTTCATATTTCTTAGTGCCCGAAGAGAACTACTTTTCAGTGGAATTCAAGCCATATTTTTTTCCTCTGAAACAGTTTTGTTTAAATACCTTTCTTGAAGGATTAATATTTTTAGATTATTACTAAAATAGACAAGTCCTACTGACAGTAACAGCAGTAAGGACTTAGTAAGAGACTTCATTTAATTATTCATGCCAGCTTCAGCAAAAGGAGAACAAAGAAATGCGAGAGGAGAAAATAATTGTAATCAAGACTGACTGGCTAGGTCCATGAAAAACTTTACAAGAACATTTTAATTTCAGGCAGGCATGGGTTCCACAAGGTAGTATTGCCACTTGATCTACATTATATTTAAATATTGCCTTATTTACAGCATGCCCAAAGCAGTCAATACTCATATGCATCCTACTTATAATGTAGCGTTAATGCACTGATAATGAAATAAACCCAACTTTGTAGATTACACAGTCACAATGTGGGCTGCAGAAAGCAGACTGATTCTTATAGATGCTAGCCTATGCCTCTTCTTGATACTAGTGGGCTTCCTAGATCTCATGCTACTCCTTATGTGGGTCTAATGGTCAAAAATAGCTGCGGACACAGAATATAACATATGGACACCTCTTTGCATTTGGATAATACAGTAATTTACCACTTAAGTAAATTACTACAGGCTCAGGGTTACATAAATAGCTTCTGAGTAGCAGTGCATAAAAGTCAGAATTTCTGTTCTGTGTACAAATTTTATGCTGTGAGAAAAGAGTTGTTTCAAATCAGAACAAGAGTGGCAAACAGTCATACTTCCCATGGAATAGGAATTAATAACATATACACCCATTCTGAAGAATTTAAAAACAAACCAAAACAACCTTAGGTCAGTTGTTTGAAAGTAAGAATGCTGTCTCTTTACCACTATTCTTTGGGACTACTTTTTCACTTGTAGGGGTTTCCTGGGTAAAAGCAGCCAGGGGTGAGCCTCAGCATCAAACACATTCCATTGTGAAAAAAAACCTTTAACTTATTTTTACATGAAGAAATATGTCAATTAGATCTCTGTTTTAAGGCAGGACTTCCAGGATATCTAACCTCTCTGTTACAAAGTGCCTAGAAGCTCTAAACACATAGCTATAGCAAAGCCTTTCATGTTGCCCCCTTTGTGTCCAGTAATCTGGACAGTGTGCAATATGCAGCAGAGAGCTTGGGGCTCTTGGTTGAGACATCATTCACATTGGCAAAGTATCTGAGGAAGCAGGAATAACTGAAGTCTGATTTTTCCCCCAAATTTGCTAGGTGATCATGGAGGCTTTCAACAGAAATGTGTTTATGTTCCCTTAATGGTTTGTTGAAATCAATACAATTTTTATTTTAAAACGCCAGCATATTCAATTAAAAAAAAAAAAAAAAAGGTCAAAGAACTCCTTATCAGCTCTGCTGCTGACTGATGCTCTTGTCATATACAAAGCTAATGAAGATACTTTAATTCCTGCTTTGCACAGAACACCAGACTGAATTAGTGAGATTATGTTTGGAAAAGAGGTTTTGGTCCTCTAATAACTCCCTTCATTCAAATCAGCCTGGCAATATTACCCAGAAAAATTAATGAATAAATAATGAGATCTCCAGTTCTGTGTGTAACCTAAGAGAATGGCATTTATCTTATATCCAGACTTTCTCCTTATTATTTCATTGATCAATTTAAAAACTGCTTTTGGATTTTCATTTCTTGCTGTGAACCTGGCCTAACACAGAATCATTAAAATTGTAGTTGAAGTCATTCCTGTCAAACTCATTTCTACACAAAAGACAGTCAATATATTACCAGTCAGGAGTTATTCTAGACCACACAAACCTGACCATGAATTTATAATCATTACGACTCCTGTATTCATTATTGTTTTACTTCACCAACAGTGCTTAGAACACTATAATGCCTACCAAAGGCAGTTAGGGAATTAAAAATTACAAAAAGGCCAGTTTACTACAAGCAGATTTTACATTCAATTAAATATATCTCCAAAGACAAACTATTGGAAAAAAGAACACAAGCTGATTGCTATTGAGTTGCCATTTGGAATAAAGCTAGTTTCTAACATATCAAATCACAGAATCACAGTTGGAAGGCACCTCTGAAGATCATCTAGTCCAAGCTCCCTGCTTACAGCTGGGTCAGTTAGAGCAGGTTGCTCAGGCACAAATCCAGTGGGGTTTTGAATATCTCCAAGGAGGGAAGCACCACAACTTCTCTGGGCAACATGATCCAATGCTTGACCATTCTGACAGTAAAGAAGCTTTTTTCTTACACTTTAATGAAATTTCCTTCATTTCAATTTGTCCCCACTGCTTCTTGTCCTGTCCCTGGGCAGCACTAAGAAAAGTCTGGTTCCACCTTCTTTACTTCCATGCATCCGTCAAGTATTTATAAGATTCTTCTGAGACTTCTCTTCCCCAGGCTGAAGAGACACAGGTCTCTCAGCCTCTCCCTGTATGGCAGATGTTCCAATCCCTTAATCATCTTTGTGGCTCTGCACTGCATTCATGCCAGGAACTGCATGGCTGTCTTAGGAGCCAAGAGCTGGAAGTGTGCCCAGAACTCCAAGTGTGTCTGACCAGGGTTAAACAGGGGTGAATGATCACCACCCTGGACCTGATGATAACACTCTTCCTAATATAGCCCCAAATGCTGTTGGCATTCTTTGCCACAAGGACACACTGGTGGCTCATGGTGACCTTGATGTCCAACAGGATCCTAAGTCTTTCTCTGTCAAGCTGCTTTCTGGTCAGTTAATCGCATCTACAGTATGTGGTTATTCGTCTCCATGTATGGTACTTGGCATTTCCCTTTGAAGGTCCGTGGGTTGGTTTCCTGTTGGCCCATTCCCCTAGCCTGGTGAGGTCCCTTTGAATGGTGGCACAACCCCTGTTTTGTATCTACCTATAAACTTGCTGAGGGTGCACTCAATCCCATGATCCAGATCATCTATGAAGACGTTAAACAAAACTGGTCCCAATATTGACCCCTGGATACATCATTAGTGACTGGTCTCCATCTGGTCTTTGGGTTATTGATTACAACCCTTACAGCCTGATAGTTTGGCCAGACTTGCGATGCACCTTAATATCTACTTGTCTAGTCCACACTTCCTCAGTTTTTCTGAGAAGGATGTTATGGGAGACATCATCAAAAGCTTTGCTAAAGTTAGGATAAAACCAATAAATTTTTCTCCCTGCATCCATCAGTCACTTCATTGTAGAAGGCTATCAGGTGAGTTAAGCACAATTTCACCTTTGTAAATACATTCTGAGTACTCTCGATCCCCTTTCTGTTCACAGTATGTTTGAAAATGTTTTCTAGAATTATTTTCTCCATCACTTCCCTCAGGAAGAAGATGAGGTTGACTGGCCCCTAGCTTGTTCTTCATGCTTTTCTTGAAGATAGGAGTAACACTTGCTCCAGTCCTCAGACACTTCTTCCAGTCACCATGACATTTCAAAAATTATCACAAGTGGCCTCACAATTACATTTGTCATCTACCTCACCACTTGTGTGCATTCCATCAGGTTCCATGTACTTGTGTGTCCAGTTTAAGTGTTCCCTAACCTGATAATCTTCCACAAAGGGTAGGTCTTTCCTGTTCCAGACTTTCTCTCTGGTCTCAGGGACCTGGGATTCCTAAAGAATAAGCTTTCCAACAAAGACAGATGCAAAGACGCCATTGAATAGGTTGGCCTTTTCTGTGTCCTTTGTCAACAGATCCTCTGCCCCATTCAGCAGTGGGCCTACATTTTCTCTACTTTTTCTTTTATTGCTGTCGTACTTGTACAAGCCCTTCTTGTTGTCCTTCGTGTCTCTTGCAAGATTCAATGCCAGATTGGTCCTTGAATTTCCTAACCACATTCCTGCATGTTCACCAGTCACTGTATATTCCTCCTGGCTCACCTGTCTCTATTTTCACCTCTTATATGCTTCTTTTTTCTCTCTGAGTTTAATCAGGAGCTCCTTATTCATCCATGCAGGCCTCCTGCTGCCTTTGCTTGATTTCCTGCTCATTGGGATGGACTGATGTTGAGCTTGGAGGAGGTGGTACTTGAAAAACAAATCAACTCTCCTGGACCCCTTTTCTCTCCAGAACATGGGAATTTTCAAAACAGATCCCTGAAGAGGCCAAAGTGTGCTGTGAATTAGAATTATTTTTTCCCCCATTTCAAAGATTCCAAATTACTTTTTTTCTCTTTAATACTGTGGGTTGTTTGGGTTTAATTTTTTTTTTTTCTCTGCAATGTGGAAATTTGGGGGGTTTTCTCTATTTTGCTATGGAAGACATTTTTTTAAAAAAATCCTGTCACTCTGTCTCTCTGAACTTAAAAGCTGAAGTCCTGTCCAATTCTATTTGTTCACAAAGCAGGCCAGTAGGAAAATTATTTGTTACTTCCTTCAGCAGAACAGCAAGCATGAAGGAAAGTTAGATTCATAGATCAAACAGCAAATTACTTTTTCATTGGCTAGAGCATTGCTATTTTAGAAAGAATAGTGGGATCATATCTTCTAAGGAAAAAAGTCCCTTTGATTGCTTGCAACTTTCAAAGGAAGATATAATGATATGTCATCAGAGTACCAAATTATTTCAGTGCATGTCTTAACTTCAGTTTTCTCTTGTTACAGTCATTGTGGTACTATATGTAGCACTTCGGAGGCAAAAGAAAAAGGACACCCTGATGACCTCTAAAGAAGACATCAGAGATAATGTTATCCATTATGATGATGAAGGAGGTGGAGAGGAGGACACCCAAGCTTTCGACATAGGCGCCCTAAGGAATCCCAAAGTGATTGAAGATAACAAAATACGCAGGGACATAAAACCAGACACCTTGCGTTTTCCTCGTCAGAGACCACCAGTGGAAGATAACACAGACATAAGAGATTTCATTAATCAAAGGCTGCAGGAAAATGATGTAGATCCAACTGCACCCCCATATGACTCCTTGGCAACCTATGCTTATGAAGGAAATGGATCTGTTGCAGAGTCTCTCAGCTCTATAGACTCCCTGACTACAGAAGCAGACCAGGATTATGACTATCTGAGTGACTGGGGACCTCGCTTTAAGATCCTGGCTGATATGTTTGGAGAAGAAGAAAGTTATAACCCTGACAAAGTCACTTAAAGTACAGCTACAACAGTAAATAAAAAGAAAAGTAAACCAATAACAAATTTAAAAGATAAACCTAAGCTTTATATAGGACAAGATTTCTTTGATTATAAAAGACAGCAACTGTTTCCAGCAAGTTACTACATTTATCATACTGTCAGTTTTGGTTTGATCTGCAAAGGAAAGATAAATCCTGTAATATACACGGTTTTTTGTTGTTGTTATTTTGTTACTCTGGAATTACACTGAGACAAGCTCAGGCTTACAAGGTACAGTATACTGGCCTGATTTAGAAAGAAGATAGCTTTCTGGCATCATGGTGGAAGAGTGGTAGCTTTTTCGTAATTCCACTAAAGTGCCTATTGAAACTTTTATCATTTAAGTGGTAAAGAGTCTGCTGTGATGGTGTTACAAAACTGAATGGTAAATTGGACAAGAACTTTAAGACAAGAAGCAATAGCAACCTGCTGACTTCTCTTAGAACAAAAATGGAGATCACTTCCTGGAGTGAAAACTAAGGGCGGGGTGGGGATGGTGTACATTGTGTTTGGGGGTTATGTTTGGGTTTTTAAAACAAGAAAACGGTATGTCAAGACTTCATATTTCTTCTTCCAAAATTTGATTGAAAAATTAAATTTAAAATGCTATTGCTCACTCTGAAGATGTAAAGCCCAGATCAAAAAGGAAAAGATCTTATCATTCATCAATGAATATTTAAAATGTTCATGCAAATATTAAGTTTTTCCAAAATAATAAAAAGATCAAAGCAGCTCTTTCTTTATGTAAAGGAATTTCCCTTGGCTCCCCCTCTTCTTTTAAAATGAGACTGTTATTAGAACATAAAGTGGAGATGTTTTTTTAAAGAATATTATTGTATTTTTAGTATCAAGACATTTTTTTCCCTTCTTAGTATCACTAAAGAAGTACATGTAAAGAACTCCATATCACTTTTCTTTGCAATCGGATTGTTACTTTGTAGGTACTGTAGACATACATATTATAGAGATAGATATTTTTCAACTGACCATCTCCTGCAGTTCAGCATATCATTGTATTTTGCTGTCAGACCCACATCAAACATTTTAGGAAGACTTTTGAGGATGGAAACCTTACTAATTTTGTTCTTGCCAAAACATTAATAGAGGCAGAATAAAAATATAAACCAGTATGTTTGTCCACATTTTATGTACATACCCATGCATAAATGTAGCTGTGTAGTTAACAGAAGTACAGATATGCACAAGTCATTATGCTGTGGAAGATATCTCTCTTGTAAAAGTATTTCATGTGACTTTTTCTGGTGATCTGAGGCATAGACATTTTGTAAGACAGTGGTTTATGGCCCTTGAAGTGCATATATCCTTGCATTCTTCTTCTAAAATCTCTGCAGTGCTATGCAATCTTCTTGAGCTCTGTTCATTACTGACATTGGCAAGGTCAGCCCAAGTCTTTCATGAATCAGAAGTCTTTTATTCACTTCAGGTCTACAGCTTACTTTTTGTGCTGCTGAAGAATTAATGACTATCAGATATTGTTAGTTCACAAGTCTGATATTAACATACACAAAGTTCCCTTCACTATCTTGGGGAAATATAATGGTATTTCAAAGTTGCATAAATTAACATCCCAATGAGACATTACAAGGTGTATAGTCTAAGTAATTTTAGAATCATTTGATACAATTGGACAAGGCTGCGTTAAAAGCATGATTGGCAGAGCTTCTACCAGCAGAGAGCTGAGAAAGAGACACTGCATTTGGTAACAAGAAAGTTTTGTGGTTTTTTTCATCAACAAAGGTATCCTATGTTCCCTGAAAGTCAAACCGAGCCAACAAAAACTCTCTTCTTACAGGAAAGGGAAGCAGAGGAAGTGCTGGGGCCCATTTGCCAGCATAGCAATTTTTGTGTGGAAGCTGGTGATTTTAATGTTCGCATGTCTTGACAGCATAACAAAGGCAACTTGATACAAAAAAAAAAAAAAAAAAAAAAAGCCCAACCAAAACCCACAACAAAACAAACATATTTGCTACTAGTTACAACACACATTTGCTTAATACAAAACGCACACTTGTGGAGATATTTAGCAATGCTTCCTCAAGTAGCACATGCATAGCAATGCTTCCTACCTTGCTGCCTCAGCTAAAATAAGTAGCTGACACTGCTCATTTACAGATGTGCAGTCCTGTAGCCAAACTCTGTTCTTAGTAACTGTACTAGACCTTTACAGGTATTTCACTAGTAAAGTCAATGCAAGTGAGAAGAGTGTTTGGCTTTTTGACACCACATGGTATACTTGCTCCTGAGAAAGTTGTGTTTGTCATGGATTCTGGATGAAAATTCGGCCTCTTGGATAGTTTGGCATTTGCTGTAAGCAGGGCAGTCTGTATGGGAGTCTGACTTCCAAAATGGTTAGACAGAAAATGTGATCTTAAACATGCTGCTACACGCATTCCCTATTTGAGAATGAGTTGTCGTATGAGAAATTAATACCAAATTGAGTATCAAATGCGTATTTTTGACATTTAAAAGGTTTCTAACTGAGATGTTTCTATCACATAATTAACAAACCTGCAGGAAGATGTATATATTTTTTTTAAAGGGTAAGTGATTTCTAAGTCAATTGTCCTATAAAATCCTAATTAAAACTTCTAAGACCTTTTTATAAAGTCTGATCAAACAATTTTAATTTAACAGGAGTATTTTTTGTAAACAACTCTATAGAACTAAGGAATATAATTACTTTTAATTTATACATAACCTGGGATCCAGGAAATTTTTATTTAATCCCATGTTTTCTCATTCTCTTTCTGAAGATGCTTGTCAGGTTTTTAACACATTATTTTTAAAAGGTAATTAGACAAATATGAAATTTACAATATTTAAATTTATGTCAAGGCATCTAAGATGATTTGAAGTCAATGCTATTAAGGAATCTCAGTGCATTTATAAATGATATTGGATAACTTCTTCAGTTTTTAAGCACTATAGTTTCAAAAAATCTCTACAAATGCTCGCACAATCAAGATGTTAAAGTGGATGTCTGTCTCTTGATTGTGGAAAGAGCTACAAACCTCAAGTTCTATCAGAGTGACAGGAAACTAAGGTAATGCTGAAAACGCACAGAAGGGATAGAATGGAAAGAAATACTTTTGTTTAAATTTCCAAACATCGAGCATCATCTTAAATGTCTCAGCAGTGCCACCCCTGCAAATCACAAGACATTCTCTAAAACGCTTTCTGCACATGAAGTCATTGAGCCACTTCACTGACACAAACAAATCCACATATTAAGGTAAATAGTTATGGCATGCACTAGTGGTGCTGAAATAAAAACCTAAATAAAGCATTCAGCTAAAAAGGGACTTATCTAAGGAAATCTAACTGATAAGCTTACACTGTGAACAGATAGAACTGAAGACAAATTTTTAACAAAACATTTGAAAGGAATTTCAGGGAAGAAGGGAAAAGTCTTCACTGCCCTTCCAAGAAACCTGAAAATGCCACTACTTAGGAAAGTTCAGACAATTTTACTGTGGGGTCAGAACATAAAATTGCTAATATTTGGATTTAAGAATGCTACTACACAAATCTGAAAATTCTGCTTTTCTTGAAATGAAGATTTGCAGTGTTGTCAGTGAGTTATATAGCAAGGATTTGGAAAGCAATCACAGTAGATGACAAAGATATATTGGAATATTTTATACTTTCACGGTTTTTACTAGTTTTATAAATTTGCTCTAAATTTTGCTGTTCAAAATAAAATCATAGTTACTGAGGATTAACTCTAGGTTATGGAAGCAGAGTTCAGTATGGAACAGAGAGCAATAAATGACTCAACAGATTACTGACAATATTATTCTAGAGACTACCTTGAAAATATTCTTACCTTAAGAAAAGATGTCCATACCCACATAAACACAACTAACTCATCATTCACATTACTATATAATGTGGTTCTGCAGATGCTATATTCATTTTAGATTTACCTCCATTATTGTTATGAAAGAGTTCTTAAGACTGTGTTACTATGGAATAACAAATCTGTATTAAATGAATATGGGAAGAAAATATAGTAATGTACTTGGTTACAAGTATTTCATATGATATTAGTGATCAGATTTTACTTGCTGAGTTAGGGGGTTGTAGATTATTTGCAGTTATTTTACTATTATTATTATTATTATTATTATTATTTACATAGACATTCAAATCTTCTGTGTATAGAATATTTCTGAGCTTCACAAACCTTCATGAAAACAAATAATAGAAATGACCCCTACTAATAACTGTACTGAGATGACATTTAAGTGAAAATCAAAGTTTATAATACACACCTTAAAAACCTTCTCTCAATGGTAAATCTATAATAACCTCATTTCTTTTATCTTCTTAGTTAAATCAGGAACCAGAAAAGTTGCCAGAACATAAGCAACAGTTCCTATTTTGAGCAAAACTATGATAAGTTTGTTTGTTTGCTCTGGACAATTTCTCTATTTTCTTTGTTTAATTGATAAACTTCCTTTAGTCAACTTTACTTTTCAACTAAAATCCCCAGATAATATCTTTTGTATCTTACTTTCATTGCTGTGGTCCCAGTCAAAATACATCCCAGGACTCAGGAGGATCTTATCAATGTGTAAAAATACCTGATGGATGGAAACAAATAATGTGGAACCAGACTTTTCTTAGAGACAGGATAAGAAGCAATGGGCACAAATTGAAATGCAAGAAATTACATTAAAGTGTAAGAAAAAAGCTTCTTTACTGTCAGAATGGTCAAGCATTGGATCATGTTACCCAGAGAAGTTGTGGTGCTTCCCTCCTTGGAGATATTCAAAACCCCACTGGATTTGTGCCTGAGCAACCTGCTCTAACTGACTGTAAGCAGGGAGCTTAGACTAGATGATCTTCAGAGGTGTCTTCCAACCTCTGATATTTTGTGACATGCCAAAACTATCCTATGTACTTAGGCTCCTAAGCTCTAGTAAACTCAATGGCATTAGGGACCTAACTACATGTGCATAGTAACTGACTTGTTTTAGAGAGACAGTTCAGGTAGGAGTGGAGGAATGTGATAGCAATCTACAAAATTCTAGCAATGTGGATAGTCTGGAGCAGGGTAAATTATTTACTCTCAGTTCCAGTGCCAGAAGTAAGCAACATGACATGAAACTAGTATCAGTCAGGATGAAAATAAAAAACCTGAGGTGGTTCTTCACACAGAGAGTAGCTGAATATGATAGTAATGGAGGCTCAGAGTTTATAAAGGTTGAAAACATGCTGGACAAATTAATGAAAAGCTAATAATTTTGGGGTTGCTTAATGATGTATGACACCTAGCTCAGGGAGTCCCTGAATAGTGCTTGATTAGGATCCGGAGGATGCTAACCTGATCCATTCCTAGATGTTTTGCTAGGATATCAGTTTATGCTAGTGCTGGAAAAGATTACTACCTCAGTTTGAGCAATGCTTTCTTATTATTATTTGCTTTCTTATTATGATTTTATGATAAATCTAATTCGTCCTCAAATCACCATTCCCTCAGTTCTCCTCCAAATTACACAGATAAAGCTAGTTCTCTTATTACATATCACATGCATATCTGCATGCATATTTTATTATTTTCCTCAGATTTTAACTATTGTAAATGCCGTATTTCCTTCAATTGTGCACACCTTTATGTGGTATTTATGCACTTTTGTCTTTAACAGGGACACTGATTACTGTCAGTGATGATAACAGTTTGGTTTAGTC